TTCCATTAGTAAACCCCTTTGTAGGGTCTCCTTAGTTAGTACCTTCCATTAGTATATCCCTTTTGCAGGGTCTGCTTATTTAGTACCTTCCATTAGTAAACCACTTTGTATTTCAAATATATTATTTGAAGTGATTGTCTATCCTCAAGTAATTTTATCAAATAATGTTTTTTTATATTAAATGTTTTAATATAGCATACTAACGAGCTTCCACTTGTTTGCCGTTTTCTGTAACTTAAAACAACAGATATGGAAGATGCCCACACACACCTGCTGTCTCTGTTAGAAGATAAAGATGCAGCCTTTTTTGCTGTTTATGATGGTCATGGAGGAGCTAAGGTTGCTCAGTATGCAGGATCTCATCTCCACAAGAAAATAGTTGGTCAACCATCATACAGTAAGTTGGGTGTTGGTCAACCGTCATACAGTAAGTTGGGTGTTGGTCAACCGCCATACAGTAAGTTTGGTGTTGGTCAACCGCCATACAGTAAGTTTGGTGTTGGTCAACCGCCATACAGTAAGTTTGGTGTTGGTCAACCGCCATACAGTAAGTTTGGTGTTGGTCAATTGCCATACAGTAAGTTGGGTGTTGGTCAACCGTCATACAATAAGTTTGGTGTTGGTAAACCACCATACAATAAGTTTGGTGTTGGTCAATCACCATACAGTAAGTTGGGTGTTGGTCAACCATCATACAATAAGTTTGGTGTTGGTCAACCATCATACAATAAATTGGGTGTTGGTCAACCGTCATACATTAAGTTGGGTGTTGGTCAACCATCATAAACAACCAAGCAGTATACATTATGTTTAATATTGACCAAGATTAGAACACTGTCAGATATTGTCGGACTATTAGTATGTTCAGTAATTTTGTTTCAAACAACCAAGCAGTATACATTATGTTTAATATTGACCAAGATTAGAACACTGTCAGATATTGTCGGACTATTAGTATGTTCAGTAATTTTGTTTCAAACAACCAAGCAGTATACATTGTTTAATATTGATTAAGATTAGAACACTGTCAGATATTGTCGGACTATTAGTATGTTCAGTAATTATGTTTCAAACAACCAAGCAGTATACATTATGTTTAATACTGACCAAGACTTAGAACACTGTCAGATGGAAAAGATATGGCTGAGTTAGGAAATTGTATTTGTAACTATTAAAGAATGAAAAGTTATGATCAGAATGGTTTTTTTTATTGATGTTGTAATTTTAAAAAACGAGGTAGAATGATTTGGTGGAACGTTTGTAGTTAACTATAAACAATTTGATTTTCTGTTTGGCATAGTTTACGGTTAGAGGAAACTTGAACATAAGAAACCTTCTCAGTAACTAATTATAAATATCAACTATTAAATATTTTATACAAGTGTTACAGATATTTTTTATGATATAAATACAACATTGATATCCCCCTCTTTTTGAAGAAAAGGGTAAGATCGAGGAAGCGATTAAAGAAGGGTTTTTAGCTGTGGATTCTGACATGTTGGAAGGTAGGTCTTTTTTGTAAATAATTTTTGTATTAATGTGTTGGAAGATTTGAGGAATGTTGTTTTTAAATATCACTTATAGTTGAATATTAAAACTGACATAAAAAAAAAGTTAGTAGAGGAATTAATACCAGAAGTTTCTTTAAAAATTTGCACCTTTTTATTTGATTGATAATTTTACAAAGATTCAGTTTCATAACTTTTACTCGTTGTTTGGAAGTATTGCTTCAGTACTAACATTTGTATTTGTATATTTTTAATGTAGTTCTGTATTACGCTGATCACTTTTAATTTTGTCCTGTTTGTATTTGTATATTTTTAATGTAGTTCTGTATTAAGCTGATCACTTTTAATTTTGTCCTGTTTGTATTTGTATATTTTTAATGTAGTTCTGTATTAAGCTCTTTTCATTCTTTTTAAACACAAAATCTCCTAGTGCTCTCGATAGGGCTAGATTACCTGTAAGAGGCAAGGATACAACTTTACTCTATACATTTCAGTTTAACATTCCATAAATTATATGACCAACTACATTACTTATCAGAATCATTCATTATCAACATACCCTTTGTTATGCAGGAGATTCAGCAAAATAATCTCGAGAACCACTCCTCTCATACGTAACTATAGAAACAATTAATGGGAGTTTTACGTTGAAGAATATTATTACCGTTTACTCTGTTAAACTCAACCCAGCCACCTGCTGCAATAATTCGTTTGGTTTCAGCTTCGTTCCCGGGTTTGTGGTCATAAGATAGTTGTTGTACTCGTCCTCCGACGCTTGCCACTGCTCTCGAATCTCCTACGTTACCCTAAAGAAACAATTATAACAATGATTTGTACATAGCACTTGAATCCATTAACCCTATTATCCCAGTACACTGCATCGGTATCAAGTACATTTATATTCCAACACCTTATAGATCACTGTAATATTTCAATATGCATTTTGAATATGGACAATCCAAAATAATAAAATTTAAACCTAGATTAAGTAACATAAGCAATGGACATTCACAGTTAATTATATTAACACACTTAAAAGGTCTTCCCTTTACTTGAGATACTAAAGAAACCTCACAGTAAGTGTCAGTAAACACAGGAATCTAAACAAGACGTACACAATAAATTTTGTTCCCCTTCAGTAAGACTACCACAGCCGTTGTTCCTGCTAATTCATCTTTCATGGTTTCATCTAGAAACAATAAAAATTGTATACATATTTGAACATGATCAGTTTTCAGTATTCACAACTTACAACAATTCTATATATTTATCTCAATCTCAGGACAAAATTAAAAGTGATCAAATCTCCCGAAGAACAGATTGTCACGGGTGAGTCATGATTACATCCTTATCAAAAATAATCTCAATAAATCTCCCGAAGAACAGATTGTCACGGGTGAGTCATGATTACATCCTTATCAAAAATAATCTCAAT